AGTGAGCCGTTTTGAGAGAATCAAGGGGGCTCTCCAGCAGCATGAGGCACTGATGACCAACATCGCCGCTGAGACACGTCAGTCAGCAGCAGCCCAGGAGCAGGCTATGGCTGCGTTAGCCGCTCAGGTCCAACAACTAACAGCAGCCCTGACCCAGCATGTAGACTTAGCTTCGCCTCCTGTCCTTCCGACGCCTGCTCCAGCACACGAGCCACGTGTGGGAACCCCAGAGCGCTATGCTGGAGAACCTGAGGGCTGCAACCCATTTGTCACCAACTGCTCCATCTTGTTTTCCCTGCAGCCCTACACGTTTGCCTCGGAGGAAGCTAAAGTAGCCTTCACCATTAACCACCTGACAGGCAGAGCACGACTCTGGGGTACCGCTGAATGGGAGAGGCGCACGCCAGCCTGCTCTTCATTCCTGGCTTTTTCTGCGGAGCTATGCAAGGTGTTCGGGGCGGTCTCCAATGGTCCTGATCCTACCGGGGGACTTATGGAACTGCGTCAGGGAGACCGGACAGTTGCTGACTATGCCATCGAGTTTCGCACGAGAGCACGCCTTAGCGACTGGAACTCGGCAGCACAGTGTGCCGCTTTTTTGGCTGGACTAGCTGTGTATATTAAAGATGAACTGATTTCTTTTGATTTACCTGCTAACCTGGAAGGCCTAGTGGAACTGACTTCCCGAGTGGACAGACGCATCCAGGCAAGGCGACAGGAGCGACGCAAGGGGGAGACAGATCGCCACCTTTCCACCCTGCCTCGAGGTCCTCCAGCAGCTACCGGTGTCATCCCAGGGCCTCAACCTGGGGGAGTTGAAACCATGCAGGTGGGGCGCTCGCGCTCCTCTGGAGTGAGACTGGTGCGCCCCACCTGCATGGCCACCGGGGAAATCTTTGCCTGTACTGTGGCCAGGCTGGTCACTTTATATCCCGGTGCCCAGCAAAAGGGCACGGCTCGCCAGTAGTAGGGGAGGTACTGGTGAGCCGAACCACAAGACTCTCTCCCAAACAAAGACCCCTTTGCCACGTTCAGCTTCTGCTCGCGAACGGATCCCAGACCCTCACTACGCTCATTGACTCTGGCGCTGATGACAGCATCATTGATGAGGACCTAGCCCTTCAGTTGGATATCAACCGGGTACCTCTGCTATGCCCTGTTCCTGCCAGCGCCCTGGATGGCCACCTACAGTGACTCACCAGACCATGCCAGTCCGTATGCTCCTGTCTGGTAACCACCATGAGGCTATCCGGTTTCTTATCCTGCGGTCACCCCAGCATCCATTAATCCTGGGGTACCCCTGGCTCCGCCGCCATAACCCCCACATAGACTGGTCCACAGGAGCCATCCTGGGGTGGAGCTCATCCTGTCACCTGATTTGCCTGAAACAAGCTGCTGCACCCCAGCAGTCAGTCTGTTCCAGCTCTGCTTTGGACCTGTCAGGGGTGCTTACTGAATATCGGGAGGTATTCAGTAAGGTCAGGGCCTCATCTCTGCCTCCACATCGCCCCTACGATTGCGCCATTGACCTGCAACCAGGCACCACTCCACCCAGGGGTTGCCTGTATTCCTTATCTGCACCTGAAAGAGAGACCATGGAGGCGTACATAAATTCCTCTCTAGCTGCTGGGATCATCCGTCCCTCTTCTTCACCTGCTGGTGCGGGGTTCTTCTTCGTGGGAAAGAAGGAGAAGTCACTGAGGCCTTGCATTGACTACAGGGGCCTCAACGACATTACCATTAAGAACCGCTACCCACTCCCTCATCTCTTCTGCCTTTGAGTTGCTGCGGGGGGGGCCACCATCTTCACCAAGCTAGACCTGCGTAACACATGTCATTTGGTCCGGATCCAAGAGGGTGACGAGTGGAAGACGGCTTTCAACACCCCCAATGGACATTATGAATACCTGGTCATGCCCTTCAGTCTCACCAATGCCCCAGCTGTCTTCCAGGCCCTGGTAAGTGATGTGCTGAGAGACATGTTAAACAAACAGGTGTTCGTCTACCTTGACGACATTCTGATTTTCTCTAGGTCCCGAGAGGAGCACATTCACCATGTCCAAGCAGTCCTTCAACGCCTCCTAAAGAATTCTCTGTTTGTTAAGGCAGAGAAGTGTGAGTTCCACGCCTCATCTGTCTCCTTCCTGGGGTACATCGTGGGACAGGGGATCATGCAGATGGATCCAGCCAAGGTGTCGGCAGTTACGTCCTGGCCCGTCCCTGACTCGCGTAAACATCTGCAATGATTCCTGGGGTTTGCTAACTTCTACCGGAGGTTCATCCGAGGCTATAGCACCGTGGCTGCCCCACTCACGGCCCTTACCTCATCCAAAGTGCTGTTCCAGTGGTCACCCTCGGCTCAGGAGGTCTTCCAGAACCTTAAGGCCCGGTTTACCTCTGCCCCTATCCTCCAAGTTCCTGACCCAGAGAGGCAGTTCGTTGTGGAGGTGGATGCCTCCGATGTTGGGGTGGGGGCCATCCTATCCCAGCGGGCTGCCAGCGACCAGAAACTCCACCCCTGTGCCTTCTTTTCTAGGCGGCTCTCACCTGCTGAACAGAGCTAGGACATTGGTAACCGAGAGCTGCTAGCTGTTAAGCTGGCCCTTGAGGAGTGGCATCACTGGCTTGAGGGGACCAGTCTTCCCTCTTTGGTATGGACTGATCACAAGAACCTCGAGTACATTCAGTCTGCCAAGAGATTGAACTCTCGGCTCCATGGTCTCCCCACGGATGTGGTCTCTGACCAGGGACCTCAGTTTACATCAGTGTTCTGGAGGGAGTTCTGCACACTTATCGGGGCCACAGCCAGCCTGTCATCTGGATTCCACCCACAATCTAATGGCCAGACTGAGCGCAAGAACCAGGAGATGGAGACGGCTCTACGGTGCTTGGTCTCCAAGCATCCATCGTCCTGGTCCCAGCAGCTCCTGTGGGTGGAGTATGCCCACAACACCCTGACCAGCTCTGCCACTGGAATGTCCCCGTTCCAGTGTGCCTACGGTTTTCAACCTCCACTGTTTTCGGCCCTGGAGAAGGAGGTTTCCTGCCCCTCTGTCCAGGCTTTCGTCTGCCGCTGCCGCCGTACCTGGGCCAAGGCCAGAGTTGCGCTCCTCCGCTCGGCCAACCGCTACTCCACAGCGGCCGACCGGCGCCGCTCCAAAGCCCCCATCTACCAGGTTGGCCAGAAGGTCTGGCTATCGACCCGTGACCTACCCTTGCGGGTAGAGTCTACGAAGTTGGCACCCAGGTTCATTGGGCCATTCGAGATCCTGAAGGTCATCAATCCTGCAGCAGTGAGGCTCAAGCTGCCCCGGACCATGCGGGTCCACCCATCATTCCATGTCTCCAAGGTAAAGCCAGTTCGAGAGTGCCCACTGGTTCCTGCTGTAAAGCCTCCGCCGCCACCGCGATTCATTGATGGAGGTCTTACCTACACGGTTCGCCGCCTGCTTCGTTCCCGCTGCCGTGGGAGAGGTCTACAATACCTGGTCGACTGGGAGGGCTACGGTCCAGAAGAAAGATCCTGGGTCCCTGCTCGACACATTCTGGATGCCTTTCTCATCAGGGAGTTTCACCGCTGCCATCCGGACCAGCCCACCAAGGGCTCGGTGCCCACTGGGGCTACCCAGCCAGACTCTGTTCCATCTGCAGCTTCAGACGTTGAAGAGGAGCCGTCTTCCGGCCAGGACGACTCACCTGCCGAGGATGAGGAGAGGATGGAGATGTCAGATGAATATTAGCCCTCCTCCAGGCCCCCTCCGCCCACCCGGCTTGGTTGTGGTTGTTTGGGACGTCGGGAGCCATCCCTTAAAGGGGGGGGGTTCTGTCACAGTTCAGCTCCACACCCTCCTCACTCTACTTGTCAGTCACTCCCTCCTCATCAGTCTAAACTCCCTTCACCTGTTCACTCACCTGCCTCTGATAAGTAATCAAGCCCCTATATAGACTCCTGCCTCCCAGACACATTTGCCAGATTGTTCTTCGGTTTTCCATGCCAGACTCTCCAGCACACTCTCACAGACTGATCTCCTGTTACCGACCCTGCCTGCCCCTGTTCTACCCGTCTTGCCTGACTCCCGGTAAACCCACCAGCCTTCTGATCCTGACCCAGTTTAAACTCTGTCTGCTGTTATCGAAGTTTTTAATAAAAGGTCAAAGATCCCTGGAATCCTGTGTGTTGCATTTGGGTCCATATACAACCCGTTACAAAGTAGGTACCTGCGATTACCATCCAATATTGTAGTAAACATGACTTTAAAAAGGCTGGCATTGGATGCAGAATGATTGAAGTTGTCCAATATCAACTCTTTTGACTGGCAATGGGGTTGCAAATAAACACAGTGAACACTGCTGTTGTTCCTTTTCAAGTAACAAGTCCCCAAATATCAATGCAGAGTGTCAGAGCTTGTTTTGTCATTCATTGGGTTGTTTACATTTTTGATGTATTATATATGGTGTCATTCCTGAGGTGCAGCATGTTGATAGTAAATCAGTGTTTAGCACACACAATCTCTCTATTTGGTTTGCTGTTGTGTTAAACTGTAGTATGGTTTGGGTTCAGGTTGCCAAAAGCTTATTTGGCTCAAACTTACAGTTTATTACTGTGAGATTCCTGTGTTTTCAATGTGTTCCTTTGTGTGCCATGTTTATGCCAAAGCAACCTACGCCACGTGGCTTTGTCGTTCCCGATTTTATTAGCATCTAATAGAAATGTGCATATCACACTGGTATCAGGAAATCTTTGTAAAAAGTCTGTATAAACATTTTTAGGTGTTTGTTTCCTGTACCTTTAGGATAGATTTGAGATACTTAATGTTTATGCAAGTTCATATAGAAAATCTAAAGTGTTTAATGTGTGTATAATAACTGTTACCCTTAATCCATCAAGTTAAATCTGACTACATCTCTTTTACCATAAATACTGTGAGAACTACAAATATTATCCTCTCATCTGAAAAATCAAATTTTCTTTTTTTTTTGTCACCTTTCTGCACTGACAGAACATCTTGGGATTGAATTTATGGGTATGGATTATTCCTTCCTCCTAGTTTGCAGATGTAAGACTGTAAGCTAAAACCCTCTACTAGAGCTAGTTTTCTCCAAGGTGAACGGATCATACAGCGTTGACCATCAGCACAAATCACATATAACATTGAATACATATTTTAGCAATCAAAATGAACAACACATCAACATTATTTAAGACAAAGCACTGTGATGCAGCTCCAAGCTATTATTTTCACGTCAAATATCACACGTGTTTTGATTCTGGTTAACAGTCCAAATGCTGCTGATTCATTTGAGTACATAATGAAAGCCAAAGAGGCTGTATATTTCTAATGCTGTATGTTCACACCCCTTCAGCTATCCATTCCTGCATCTTCTGTTGCCACCAGTGTTCAGCATGAGACAAAGCAGCATCACTGTCCTCCTAACTTCACCCATCTGCCTTTCTGTTTCCACAACATGGTCTCACTCCCAACTCGTCAAATACTGATCAGTGCCCCTCGGTGTCAAGGTACAGCGGCACCCTTCTGTATGCGACGCACCAGGCTTTCAACTAACTCCAAAGTAAACTATCCCGCGTTATAATGAGATGATCATAGCAACTGACACAGTATAAATTGCGTGATAAACTGCTAATGGGGAGGCTGTGGCTCGGAGGTATAGTGGGTCATCTTCGAATTGGAAGATTGGCGCTTCAATCCCCAATTCCTTCGGTCCGCATGTCAAAATGTCCTTGGGCAAGACACTAAACAATAGTGGTGTAACGGATCACGGATCATCCCTCACGGTTCGAGATTGTTTTTACAGTGTAATCATCATAGTGTGTAATAACGTTTCACTGCTGCTGTTCCTTTTCAAGTAACAAATCCCCAGATATCAACGTAGAGTGTCAGTGAACAAATATAAAGCAGTAGTGTGTTCATGTGAATGGAGCAGGTTAGAAGCATTTTTAACGGTGAAAGTCATGGCGAGCGGAGGAACTTGAGAAGCCCCCGGCGTCATTTAAGTTTGGGAGCATTTAGGCTTCCCTGTAACTTATAATGACGGATAAGGGTGGTGGATAAAACCGTTATCGTATGTAGGCGTTGTTTAAAGAGAAAGACATACGACAACGGCAATACATCGGACATGTCCACACATTTGAAGCGCCAAGGTATCATCGCGGCATTTAAGAAACAGTTTGTGGCAGAATCAGACTGGGCTAAAGCTATTACAAAAGCTATTGAGGTCATTATTGCTGAAGACATGAGGGCATTCTCCGTTGTGGAAAACAAAGGATTTCAAAATATGGTTAAAGTGCTTGAGCCACGCTACGAAATCCCCTCAGGCACCCACTTCAGTATGAAGATCGTTCCAGGCCTCTATGAAGAGGAAAAGACTGAGACAGCTCACTTCATCACGGCGGAGTGGAGATTCAAAGTCTGGTGCTGCAGACACGCCCCTCTGTGAGGGTCCCACAGACACACATCTGGCACTACCCTTTCCCCAGGCAATGTAGATATTCTCATCTTTTTGAAACTGAATATCTTAAATATTGTGGTTTTCATGTAAGACTATAGCCCAAAGTTATTTGCTTTCTGTGTTCTTGAAGTTATTTTAACTAATAAATGGAAAGCAAATTATTTGTCCACCCCCCCTTCGCTGATCCAAAAAATTATCCGATCCGTGACTCAAAAACTGTGAACCGAACCGTGAGTTTTGTGATCCGCTGCACCCCTACTAAACAACCAATGGGTGGATGAGTTTTGAGTCCTGATGGGCAGGTGGCACCTTGTATGGCAGCCTCTACCATCAGTATGTGAATGTGTGTGTAGTATACAGCGCTTTTAGTGGTCAGAAGACTAGAAAGGTGCTATACAAATGCAAGTTAATTTACCATTTAGGGTGGGGTGGTAGTGTCCTGTGTGAAACAAAAAATCTAAGATTTATTGTGTCACGTCATTCATTTGACTCGTTAGTCACGTTGTTGATAGCTGATAGTCACGTTGATAGTCACGTGACTCATTAGAGCACTCGCTAGTCACAGGAGTCCTTAGTCAGTCAAAATAACGTCAACCAAGATCCTAACTTAATGGTTGTTTCCTAAACCTTTTTCATTTTGAAAGAAATTATGCATTTAACGAGCGTTTATTGACATGCTGTCCCTGACACTTCCAAAACAGACGCTAGAGGGTTACCTAGAGCATTATTTGAGGAATTGGGAATGAGAACGTGGTGGTTTCCACCTTCATCACATGTATGTTTTCAACTGTTAAATGTTATATTCCCTCTTACTTATAGCATCTTTCTAGTTTATGCCTCTTTTCATCACAGTGTCATGTTACATCTAGTAAATTGTGTAAAGATGCACTAAAGTGTGTAATATCAACCTGCCCAAAGAAAGCAGATGACAATTTGCCTTTTTTGCTAAATCTGGCACATTACATAATACTAAACAATATGTTGATAGAAATCAATATATCAATATTATATCAATATTTATTTTCTCTTTCAATAAGACCATTTAATTTTAGTTGGAATGCAATATATTCTTAAATTATGCTAACACTTGGACAGTTGACTGATTTAAAAAGTACTGCATAGAGCCTGCTGGGACCTTTCAGGTTCTTCATCATGGCTGACCAGACTAATTAACACATTCATCAAACCGTTTTAGGCACAAGCACAAATTTAAGAAATCCTCTTTTCAGCTGCTTTATGAAACACTGATCTCATAAATAAACTGTTTATTATCTGATTGCACTTTGGTAAATTGCATGCAGCTGTGGTAAGAAAATGAAGCCACACTCCTAGTTTCCCACTTTACGGATGATTTATGTTGGTGTGTTAATCTTAATAAATGTATCAAAAGATATAAGGATTCACCATAATTACTGGCCTACATGATACAGTTAGCTTCTGTTCCTCTGTTTTATTTTGAAAATACCTCTTCATGTGCAATATGCAAATACATTTTTATGAGCAGTGTGTTTGTCACTTTAAAAAAAATCTCTTAATATTTGCTTGCTAAATACAGTTGGAAAACAGGACTTCCAACTGTCCCAGAGAGAATCAACATAAAGAAATGTAAACGAAAATGAAAACGTTTATTTGAGCTTCTGATTTGACAACAGAGTAAAGACAAACACATTTTTCAGAAAAATGCTGGAATTCAAACTCAGTTCTACTTCGACAGCATTGATGACTAATGGAGGACAATTCTAGAAATTAAGAAAAGTGAAGCGAAACAGGCTCATGGATGTGAGTTCACCTTGGAGAGATCATGTGATATTAAAGAGTTTAACATTATAATTAGAACCATCCCTGAAGAGATGAGGTTTATAGGACAATAAAGAGAAGCTGGTATTATGGTTGAGCGCTAGATTTTGGTGTATTGCATGTTAGAGTCATTTGTCTTTGATTGCTGACTGGAGCCCTATAGATACAGGATTCATGAAGCCAATACCAGTATCAATATTTAAGAGTTATAAATAAATTATGTAACGATGATACATCGCCTGATAATCTTTTTTTAAACATAAAGACAAATATTTCCCCCGAAATTTGTTTTTTAATAATTGTGACTATCATGTAAAGAGAGACACTGTTTCTAAATGACCTCAAACATATCATAGACATTTCTGTGCTGACTGTTACTTGACTACACTGATACAAATCCACTTGCATAAGCTTAAACAGGGCAATGTATTGGCTGGACTGTCATTGTTAAGGGCCACTGTGTCTCCCAGATCAGTGGATTAGATTCCAATCATGTCTATAGTAGAAAATTACTTCTAATTTCTTTCTTCTAAGAAGCATTTGGACTTTTGATTGCTGTAATTGTAAAAAACCTCCCTGCAGAGCATTTTCTTATTGTTTGGGTTTATGGCTGGAATGGTCTTAATGTATGTGTCTGTCTGTGTGTATTGTACTCCTGAAATTTTAAGATTGTACTGTCCTCTTTTTCAGAAGCTGAGGAGCTGTATCAGAAACGCATTTTAACAATAACAGGAATCTGCATTGCACTCCTAGTGGTTGGAATCATGTGTGTGGTTGCCTACTGCAAAACAAAGTAATTCATGTCACATTTTCATATTTCATTAATAACTTAAAGGTACACTCCACCATTTTCTTTTAGTACCCAATAGTCCCTCAAGTCCCCAAATCTCCTTTCAAAAAGTAAATGAATTGTCTGCAAAAATGTCTAATAGGTGTTAGAAATATGGAGAATGTTCCATGTGAGTCAGGACAGAAATAGCAAAAGACCTGAACTTTTAACTTGAACTTGAACTGAGAGGCCCAAGAGGAAGACAGTGAAGCCAGAACTGGGGTTGATTGACTGACTGACTGACTGACTGACTGACTGACTGACTTTTTGGTTACTTGCAAATGCGTGTTACAATTTACACACAAATGCCAAGTAATATGAACATTTGTTAAACAATTTTACAAATGCACACATAACAATGTAAATTAATATTAATATTTTATGTATACATTTTTATCTTCAACTTCAAAGACATGATCATGTTCGCCTTCAAAAAGCTTGCTTTGTATACAAATTCCTCTGTAAAAAAATATACGTGATATTCTATTGTATTCATTTATAGACTAAGATTCTGATGAGTGCATTTGTAAAACTTGTTTCACATGTGCTCAAATTGCTTAGTATTTTCATGTAGATTGTAACACGCATTTGTGAGTACCAGAAATTACACACAAATCGTTGTACTCATTTGTAAATTGTATTTTTTGTTTGTAGATCATGTAAAACAGTTTTTATGATCAGTTTGAGACTAATTTAATTCCAAAGCCAAGTGGCCGAATGTAACAATTCAAATGTTTGATTGGGGTAGGGGGTTCTAATTTAGCTGCAGAAGACTGTGAGACATCCAGACATTGACCTCCTTCAGACAACTATGTAAAATAATCAGATTAGAACATTTCCAGGGTTTCACAGATAGATAAGAGATACAGCCAAACCAAATGAAGTGAGACATTTGAGAACTTTGTGGTACTATTGGAGGCAATTACAAAAATGTAAAATGTATTTTGTACTGACCTCAATATGTAAAAATCAATTACCATTACCATTACAGTCAAGCCATAAAAACATTAGCTGAAATTGGGGTAAATGTATCTCTTTAACTACATTTGGAACTTTCCCGTCTCCTGTTTCTTCACAAACAGGAAGCAGAGGAAAAAGCTCCATGACCATCTGAGGCAGAGCCTGAGGAATAAGAGGACCAACAATACCAATACTGGTATTGGCTCCAACCTGGCAAACTCAGCTAGAGGACGTCAGGTTTCTAACTTGCCTCTTCAAGATTTGCAGCTCATCGATGTATGTTGTTACCTGTTGCTATCAAATAAAACCTGTTAAATTTGTACACGCAAGCCAATTGTCAATTTGTTTTATGCTCCTCTTTTTTATAGCATTGTAATGGGACAACTATGCAGCATGCAGCTGAGGGGGATACAGAAACCAACTTCTCCACAAGCAAAAAGGCTTTATTGGTGCATGAACCCACTACATTCACCAACATCTCTAGCATGAGGTAAGGAATAACGTAAAACATTTTGTCATTTGGTTTGGTTTTAAGCAGATGCACCACATTTCAGATCACAGGTTTGGTGGTGAGAACCAACCCGTTCTCAGTCCCAATTCATCAAACACAGACACTTGATCAGAGCCCCTCAGCACAGCAGTCATCTGATGCCGAGTTGGTATAATGACATAATAAGGGTTACACGCAACACACATATAAAACATAAAAAAAAAGTGTGGCGTCACTTACTTGAGAATCTGTATGTCCTATATGTCCTGAATATACTATGATGTGTGTATATATATATATTTATATATATATATATATATATATATATATATAAAGCTAAATAATGTTTGTTGCATCCGCCGTGGTGTCCATAGCCCTTGTTTATTGTCATTGTTTTATTATAATTGTCTAAGTTTTGTCCTCTTTACTGGATAGCTAAGGCTATACTGAGGGAAAGGGTTATATATTCTGATAATCAGTTTTTTGTTCAGGCTGCAAATGTCCATCTGTAGAAGAATTTACTGTTGGTTTGGTCATAAGGGCTTGTGGTGCGGTTCAAAACCAGGGACGCTGCAATGTTGTTCCATTGTATACGTTGACACTGTAATGCCCTTTATTTTCTAGCCTAAAGGTGGTCTTTGATTTAATAGTTCTATCATATCACATTATCACATTACCCTCCTTTGCTGAAAACAAATATTTACAGTAGCAGGAGTTTTAGCTGAGTAATATGATCTACTACTCTTAGCATCTACCACGAAAACAAGGTAAGATGCCTCCAAAACACTGGAGTCTCTGACATACAAATCCTTTATTTAATTTTCTTAAAATCTGCAAAAATGTCACACACTTGAAATATGCAAAAGAGCTTACTTACAGCAGCAACATCTGCAGTCACTGCCAACTCATTGCAAGGGACAGTGGCATAGACCAGCATGCTGCCAAACTGTTTAATCTCAATAGCAGCAAGTTCAACGCACTACACACTACACGCTGTAAATGGATATTGTAGAGAAGATTAGGAAACCATGAAGGTTATATTTCCTTATTGCAATAAAACTACATGACATGAAACAAAAAAAACAAAAAAATTGCTTTCCTAAATTTCATGCAAGCCTAAAATGTGCACTGTACAATGAAGAAAAAATAGCCCAAATTAAAATTAAAATAAATATTGAGTCATAAAAATTTGTCAGGTTAGTGTACAGTAATGCCTCACACTTAGGCTTTTTCTGCACCACAAGTACAGATATGAGATTATGATATGAGTGAGATAGTGGGATGATGAATAGTCAAAAACAGTCTTTACAGATGATCAGGAACCTTGATTATATAAAAACATGGATATTCAAAACACTGATTGCCAAGTTTAAGGGGAAGCAGCAATTTTGCCTTAACTGAAGACATTACATGGAACCAGTTTCAGCCTCCGGATGTGCAGCTTGTGGATCTTAGTCCCGTCACAGCAAAACTCCAATGAGACATTTCCTGGAGATAAACTGATAGCTGCTAATATAAAAAAATCCAACATGCTCTATCGCCCCAAAAAGCATACAATTTTCTGTGCATTGCACCAGGATGTCTATACCTAGAATCCCATCCGCTGGGTGTTTGCTGTGCCTCCTGTGCACCAAATCATCCATAACTGTATGATTCAACATTATTACAATTATTATAATTCAACAGAAAAACTATGCTGTCTCATCCATCAGTAAAGAAAAAGAAACATAACTACTACAGTACTACTTTCTTAAATTTTGGCAGGCTCAATACTGATTGGCTGAACATATTCTTTCAGATTTGAAAAGAGTTCTTTCCAGTAGCTGATTATATAATTAACTGCTGTATCAGTAAATAGGACTTTGAATTAATGCAGACTGTGAGAACACTGAAATGAAATACACTGAAAGACACAAATTTGACCCGCAATATTATTATGTCATGGTCTAGAGGCCTGTCTGAAATCTGTCTCTATCTAAACGACCCCCTCCCTGTCTCTGCAGCTGGACTAATGACTGGAGCAACAGTCTTCTGTCTGACACTGAGTCTGTCTCAGTGATGTCATTGCCGGAGAATAGCCAACGTGCCACACAGGGCAGCCGAGGTCGTCTGAATGCCACTGGTGGCAGCAGAGACTTAAGTGCTCATTCAAAGAAGTGCTGAGATACACCTACCTCCAACAGGGACTTGCATTAAAGTACAAGGTAATTGGTGACTTTGCGTCACAAATAGAAAACCAAGAGGCTCATGAAACTGACAACAATGCAACAAAGACTCTCAGTAGGTACATCATTTATATAGGAATTAGAATTTGATCTAAAAACATGTAGGCTGGATATGTATGTGTAATAGTATATGCCACTGTCTCTCACAATATGGTCTCCACCAAAATGCTACACTATTGGGGAAAACATATGAGGAATAAATGAATGCATAAATAATTAGATATGTTGTTAATAAGCAATGTGTAGAGCAAATTAGAATTACATAAATACACCTCAGAAAATACATCTAGAAGAATCTGATCTCCTGAAGTGATATTACCCTCAATTCAGACATTTTTGTTGATAATTTAACACAGTAGTTTCTGAATTATAGTTGACAATAAATCATCCACACATCATAATAGACCCAGTAGGGTGGTATATGATTATAATGTGGTTCTCAACAATACCGACTAAGCACTTGTTAATATGGCCCAAACACAAAGACATCATTAATCTCAGTTAAGATAAATCAAACAATACTGTCAAATCTCAACTTTTACAGTCTTCAAATATAGTCTTATATGAATGACTGGGGCCTCTGCAATGGTGATCACTGATAACTTACATTGAATTAAGTTAACTAGTTAAGTTATTTTTGGGAAGTAGGCCACGCCTCAACCACACCTCTAATCACCTGTCAACCCTGATTATACCTGGTCAACTTGTCCTGTACTGTTTGTCTCAGTTTTCTCTATTCAGACCATGCTTCACACTTTTTCACGCGCATCCATCAATCTAAAAGTAAGACATACACTAGCTTTGATTATTTTAAACATCCAGCTCACCATGGATCCAAACTGCAGACAATTATCCATCCGAAAGTGTTTCTCCTCAAGCCATGAGATTTCCCAAGCAGTCAGATAACAGACAAACTTCCCGGCAGTTGGGCACACATTGGATTCGTCAGCTCCTCCACTACATCTACCATAAAAAGAACTCTCAAACTCTCAATTGCAGGCTTCTTCAGGATCGTCACATGTGACGTCACTGAGGCTCTATCTCCTCCAGGGCCACAGCCAGTATCGCAGTTTGCATTTCCACCTGTGCCTACTCTTTCTGTGTCTTACATTTTTGAAGTCACTTTGTCATATTTTTTATCCCCTGTGTTCACTGACTTCACAATATGCCCTAGTCTTTCATCCCACCCTTCCCCTACCCTTCCTTCAACTGTACACAGCAAAAGGCTTCCGCTCCTACAAATTTGTCTCTTGACAGCGATCCAAAAGCCCCACCTAGCCACCAAAGGAGCCCCACCACTGGCTAACTAAATTGGTTCTCTGCTTCCCCCTACATTCATTCTATTTGTATTGAATACTATACTATACTGGAGAACCCGGAATGTGAGAGTGCCTTTCTGAGACCCAAGACAAAAGTGTTGCCAAAGTGATAATGTTCCAGGATTAGGTGGAACGTTAGGATACAGAGTGAGAGTTTAGGTTGCTCACCACAAACATAATCTGCTGCTAGCACCACCTTGTTTTTAGCCAGAGTAGCTATCTGGTTAAAGGGTTACTGCAGAACAGATCTCTTCAAACATGATTTCCTCCATCCAAGTCATGAATGATCTTGTCTCTTTTCTATGAACATAGAACTCACGCTAAAGGCCTGTAAACCTTTTACCAGAAATAAGCAAGCTGTCTGTACGTGCCAATACTGACATTCTTAAACTTGTACTTCTTACTGTTAGATCTAGCTAAAAAGACTTTCATTGTTAATGACATTGACATGTCCAGGGTGTATCATGCCTTCACACTATGTCAGCTGGGATTGGCTCTTCAAAGGTGAACTCTGTCCTGCAAGTCCACAGGTGCTGGCTGGAGATTGCAGCAAAACAAAAAACGCATTCTTGGCTTTGTCAGCTGGCTTCAATAGAAGTACATTTTGATGGGATTGTAAATTGGTATAATGGAAATGATTGGTAAAATGGAAACTGAAACAAATCCCAAAGTTTCCTCTCAACTCAGTGATGTTTTAGAATAGAAGAATAGAAACCCTTTTTATTGTCATATACATATACACATACACAAAATTTGACCTCTGCATTTGACCCATCCCTGTATATAGGGAGCAGTGGGCTGCCAATGACAGGCAGCCCGGGGAGCCGGGGGTTCAGTGTCTTGCTCAGGGACACTTCAACACGTGGCACGTCCCAGTCGAGGATCGAACCGTTGACCCTGCGGTTACCAGATAACCCTCTTAAGCCAGTGAGCCCCCAGTTTTGAAATGTAACCCAATTAAGCATGTAAAATTTGGGGATTTGGGGTGTTTTTGATGCTGGAACAAAACCAAAGGAATGTGTAATTAAGCTGAAGTTGTTATGACGGAGCTACTGGAGAGTGCTTAAGTGGTTAAAAAATGTATTCTTATCTGATGGGCCACTATGTCAGGAATACGATGAATCCATATTTTAGGAGCCGTGATGGCTCAGTGGTCTGCACGTCACCTCACCAGGGCTCAAATCCTTTTCTGTGTGGAGTTGTTCTGTTGCGGCATAGGTTTCCTCTGGGTGCTCTGGTTTTCTCCCACAGTCCAAAGACATGCTGGTTACCTTAATCTATAGTTGTGCTTTAGAGGTTAACAGCATAGCTATGGACCCTACACACATTTTTGCCGTAGCTATGCAATAGCTGATGTGCGTCTCCACGTGGAGACAACAAGAACTGTGATTGGGGTTTCTGATTGCATTGGAGATTGTTGTGGCATCAAGACAACATGAAGCAATTTTAAATGCCTTAGTAATTGTCTTGTTTTCCTGAAGACACATCCAGGAAAGTAATTTCCACTTCACACCCTCTGCTCAACGTGGTGACACTGTTCTCTATCACAACAAGTAAATAAATGTGAACACTGTATATTCATGTGAATGAAAATTGTAATGAATGATAATAGAAAGTAAAGCATGTAATCACCAGCTAACAGATGATTCATCTGTCTATTAATGTGGTGGTGTCAACTAGTGAAATCAGATGTTAAACTATAAATCAAAACCTACACAGTAGGAGTCCAGTCAACCCCTCACGTCACGTATAAATTAAGTTTTAGGTGAAATGAATTACTCTAAATTGCTCATAAATTTGAAAGTTTGGGACTGTCAATTTCAAGAAAAACTTTTTTGCCTTCTGGTTCCTAACTCTTGAAAGAAGAAAAAATTGTCCCTATATCTATTCATAATATGCTCATAAACATGCATCTTTCTCTGTCCTGAATTGATGGACTTATTGTCCACAGCCTCGCTGGACCTTTATATTTTTTTCCGAGCAGTATCATTGGCAATTCAACTGTCAATATATTTGAACCTGTTTTTTATTGTGTATCAGACTCAGACAACGATGTTTACTTTTTAAAATGTTAAATGTGGTACACAAACATTGACGTGAGCATCTTTCAAGTAAATGTGTAAACAAAGGTGTTGTAATTGTACTTCTGTTGTAGGTGTGTACCTGCCATGACAACCCAGACTCAGCTGTCTCTCGTGTCCCAGACCTCTCCTGCAACACCAGGGTCTCCTCCATCAGAGATGTCTGCCCCCCTGTCCAGCCTGGCAATCTCTGTCCCTTCTTTGGCTTTAAGCCCCTCTGGTGAGGAGGAGCGCCCCCTGCTGTTGTCAAACACACCTCAGCCATGCAAGGCTTTGAGCCGAGATGAACAGAAGAGGACATCTGCCCACTACAACCATGGCCATGTAGCACATAGCTTACCACCTAGCCCACTGTTTACTATGGAGAATGGTTACTACATAGGTGACCATGACAACACAGCTGGCAGCCATATGTTCTCAGCATTACCTGAGAAGCTACTAAATACAAACAACAACATCAACAGCTGCAGCACCAAAAGAGTCACCAATGGCCATGTGCAGCAGAATGTGGAGTCCAGTGGCGATAACATGCTAGTGAGGGAAAAAGAGGAGCGTCGGGGGGAACGCACATCCTTCCTTACTACTGATAGCACTACAACCCTGCTGCTCAGGGCTATGGACAGCAGCAGGACTAACCTAGCATCACCAACTAATGACGTGGCAGACAAGTCATCCAGTTCCACCACCAAACTAAATCCAGTTGCTGTGTAAAGTCAAAAGAAATTGCTGAGAATCCTTTATGTTGAGGGAAAAAAAAATGAATAGTCATTATTAAACCTTTATTTTCTGTAAAGTATTTGCTTTGTAAAGACTTTTAAAGATAAATGAAAATGAAACTTTTATTTTAGTGATGTAGTAAATAAAGAGTTTTATAAAAAGAAATGTACAAATGTGTTCATGTCTTGTAGGTAAAGTGCCATACACTAGTATGTAGCAACGGATGACAGTATATTTCTGTGCAGAAAAATATCAATGGTGCCTTTCTATTTAGTGTGCTTAAGGGAACTGCAACATTGCATACTGGGACATATATTCACCAACTTAACAATCCAAAATAACTTGCTGGCTGCTTTTGATGTCCTCCAGTTGGAAGTGCCCGTTGACACAACAGTTTGCTATTATATTCATACAAGGTGCATGCTACGTCCTTCAATGCTGTGACGGAATGCACAGTTCATGTGTTTTCCTCTCCAATCATTTGACCTGGTACTAAACTCCAACACCTGGACTGATGTTTGTGAATAAATGATCAATCAGCTCATAATTTGCATTTGATGAGAGATGGAAAAGATGGTTGAAATCATAATGGTTTTATTGATCATCGTCTCATCCGGAATCCTGCTGGTGAACGATTCTCATAACTGATAGATAAAGATGCCATTACTAAAAACTGGCGCTGTAGTGTTACTAATACTGTCACTTATATGCTTAACATAATCCTGTAGATATTTAATTTCATTAAATTCTATATTGTGATTTGATTTACACATTTCAAGTTAACTATTAAATGTTAAACAGTTGATGCACTGGTGTAGTATTGCACTTAAATAATGTTTAGATACTGACAAAGGATAGATAAATAAATAATAAAAGTACAGAAAGATGCTCATCAGAGGCCTAATATCCTAACTTACGCAAAATGCTGGATCCTAAATTTCCGATAATGCTTGAACGGGTCTTTATGAAACTTAAGTTTCATGTCTTTCTATGCTGGCATGTATCCACATCTTTACAGAGTGCAAACTGACTCAGATAAGGTGGTGCCATCAAAGAAAATGACTAGCATGAAGACCAGCAATGCTCTTTTTCTTCAAGAGAACACTCCAATTACTTGTGTCCTCCATCACCAGTATGATATTGCTGATGGCATCTTTAAATGCAAGAATATCTACATAGTGTGTACTGAATGGAAAACTGAATATATGGCTCATTTTGTCCTTTGCATTTTGGGGATTCAAAAAATTGCTAAATATATACATGATGTTTAACTGCTGTATTTTGTTCAGTCTTATCTCTGGTATGATATACATGTATTTTTTGTCAAAATTGTTACAATTTTGAAGAAAATAAATGCATACATACATGTATGCATTTATTTTTTCTACCCCAACTTGTGTTCACATATGCAGTCTCATTGTATGTGTGATTTAGAAAAAGGTTTTATAATGTCTTCTAACATGAGCATATTTTATGAAAATCTGCCAAAGATTGTCACCACTTCTAGACTTTAGAAGAAGAAAATCATTTAGCAAAAGTAAACAAAAATAACCATTATTGGGCTCTGTAATCAACCATAGTTTCCTAAAATGTATGTATGTAGAATCAGCAGTCAGCCTACTATATGAGTAAGTACTATGACATATATGTGCTGCTCCATGATTAGTGTATTAATGGTGGCCATACTTCTATGTAATCTTTTTTTTTAAGATTATTTATCCTTCATTTAGTCAGTTTTGCTCATTACAAGCATCAATTACAGATTTTAGTGTATATATTTATATTTTAACAAAGATTAGTTTAAGATGTAAGATATATAGCCATCTGTCACATGGTTATTAGGACAAAATAGAAATGATCTACTTGCATATTTTGTCACTTGTATGCTCAACAATAACTCACAATGCATTGCTTTTAGGTGTAGGATTGTCTTCAAATGATGTAAAAACACAATGAAAACCTTCAGCCCTGTTGATTCTTATTAAATATTAAATCATTTTTGTGTTTTGTGCCTCAAAGTGTCAACATATTGAAGGTTCTCTGCTTTACCACTGAAGAATTCAATGAAAACGATTCCAAGGATAGGAATAAAGGAACAGGGGTTGGGATTATCCATTTCCGGATGGTTCAACAGTATGGGGTCTCTAGGCAGGCAATGGCCATGTCGACCCAGGTACAGTCCAGACACTCTCTTGTTAGGATTTTAGGGGATTGAATTCTCCTTCTTCCGGCAAAGACAGACTAACTCGGTGATGTGTCATGTACTCTGTCTTGAGTTATGCTAATATGACTGTACTCTATTTTTGAGTTACAAATATTAGGATTTTTGTCTAATCTGTTTTGAGTTAGCAAATAATATTAGGACTGTAGTCTACCCTTTTTTGAGTTACAAATATGTTACTTGTATTTCCTCTGAGTTACAGCCATTTTGAGTCCTTTAGTCCTCTTTAGAGTCCTGTGGTTGTGTGAATTGATGCTCCTAATGTCAATTCACGCGAGGTTCCACTGAGGTTAGGGTTAGGAATAAAGGAATGGGGTTATCCATTCTTTATGGTTCAACAGCAGCGGGTCTCTAGGCAGGCAATGGTCATGTCGACCCAGGTTTTCCAGCCCAGGCATGAGTTTGTGAGGGGGTTAGGGGATGGAATTCTGGCACCGTGAAAATGATTACAGGTTAGGTTGAAATCATATTCCCATAGATCTCCCTGCGTCGTCCATCGACTTCGCGGTTGGACAGAGATGAAATGCAAGGCACGGGCCAGCACATGTTACTCAGAATCCCCTCAGCCATATGTAAATTGACCCAGCGAAGGAAATCTATGGAGGTGTATACATGTGTAGGTTCTACTCTGTTGCTGTGACGTGGTAAGCAGAAGGCAGAAAGTCCAGGTTGAGGACCTGAGAGGAGGTTGATCCCAAGCAGGACCTAGTATAATGGTTTGGGGTTAGGGTTAAGGTTAGAGTTCGGGTCCAGACCAAAGTTGGGGTGGAAATTGCCCCAAGACCAGGATGATAGGTGTTAGGCATTAGATTGTTAAGGATGAATTGGATTAGAATTGTTAAGGATGGGTCAGGATGAAATAGATCATGGGAAACAGTCGGGGTCAGGCACTGAATTCACCTGACGGACAGATAGCTGACACATGTTTCTCCTAAGGAAACTTCAAGATCCCTCTTTTTTAACCCTTTGATTTTATGGCATGTTTTTAAACCTTTTGAGAAATAAAGTTGTTTTTTTTAAAACAAAGAGAGTGATTCCCGTTTTTTAGCACTTTTAACCAACAGAATGGCTCTAACAGCTCAACTATGCTAACTAACAGCTGGCTATGGTTTATTTGATCTAAGACTGGATGGTAATGAGCTTTGTCTGCAACAGGGCCCCCTCTCTTCTAAAAACCTCGCCCTGAAGACACACGCTTGGGCCTCCGAACTGTAAGTTCCTTCATGGTTTTAAACTGGACACTGACATTTCTTTGTTCCTTTTATTCACAGCAAAGGATCGCACAACAAACTTGCCCTTATTTCCCTCTCATTTCTCCCATGTATTAACTTCTCCAGCTCCACAGCATTTCAAACATGACAATAAGCCTCACAAACAGATTCTTACCGCTGGATAAACTCCCCTGGGACCCGCAGCGGCTGTCCATAAACCAATTCGGCAGATGAAGCTTGCAGATCGTCCTTGGGGGCTGTCCTAAGCTCCAACATGACCCACGGAAGCCTGTCCGCCCAACCGCTGTCTTTGAGGCTTTCATAGAATGGTGGAACCACTCGCATAAACCATTAGCCTGCGGGTGGTAGGCAGTAGTGCAATGGAGCTTCACCCCTAGGCTTCCTGCAACTGCATTCCAGAGCTCTGACATAAACTGTGGACCTCGGTCCGAGGAAACGTCAGCTGGGGCTCCGAACCTGGCGACCCAAGTCTGAATAAAAGCCCGAGCCACCTCATCCGCCATTGTTGACGGCAACGGGACAGCTTCTGGCCAGCGAGTGGTTTGGTCTACCATTGTGAGGAGATGTGTGAAACCCCGGGATGGGGGCAAAAGTCCTACTAAGTCCACATTTACATGATCAAACCTACTTTCTGGAACCGAGAACTGTGCTAAAGGGGTCTTTATGTGACGGTGGACCTTGGAGCGCTGGCACACCACACAAGTCCTGACCCACTTTCGTACATCGTACACCGTGCCAGATGAACTTCGCTGCCACCAACTTCTGAAATGCCTTCTTGCAAGGGTGTGACAGACCATGAATAGCGTCGAAGACCTGTTGTCTCCATTCGTCGGGAACAACCGGCCGTGACTGGCCTGTGGAGACATCACACAGGAGCATAGTGCCAGTTTCGCCAAACGGGACCTCCTCCAAACGCAGTCCCGTAACTAAGGATGGGTATCGTTTGGGTTTTTTCCGATACCGGTGCTAAAACGATACTTTTAAAACGATACCGGTGCCCAAATGGTGCCTGAACCATTTTTTCTTCAAATTGAACAATATATTAACTGTTTAAAGTATACTATAAATATAAATAAATACAAAACACTTGGCTTCAAACTACAGCTTCAAACTTTTTAACTTCAAACTATGAACAATATATTAACTGTTATCAACAGTTTACATTTTAATTTTACCAGTCGGTGGCGGTAATGCGCCAATTCATTGTTTGCCAACCGCCACTACACCTCAAAGAAGAAGAAGAAGGCTTCGCGTGCCTGTGGATGTTGTGTTTATGAGCGGCAGCGCTAAGTACCCGGATGTCGATGGAGGAAGTCAGTAGCCTGCCAGCCGTTTGACAGATCTCGGTCTCGTTTTTTTTTTTCAAAGAAATCATGGCCGAACTTTCGCCAGAATGATGGAGGGGTTTAATTTGTTATGGCAATAACTTCTGGACACAGGGAGAAACCCCCCCCTTGCAGCCATGTGCTCTCAACCACCTCCAAAACACAACAGCAGGTTAAAGTAAAAATGAAATGGATTTATTATCCAAGAACCAGAAAAACAGATACAGACAGTTACAAACCGAATCACACTACTAATAACAAAACAAACCTATATATAAAATGAAAGGTGAGATCCAATCCGAGCCACCCAGGAGGCTGGTCTGCCTCCTCGGTGGCCAGCAGAAGATCTGAAAACCCCCAGAGTTTGAAACCCTTTGTCCCCTCAAAGTTGCATTCCTCAGCTCATCGATCAGCTCATTGATTGGCTGAAGTCCAACAAGCCCCACCTGGGCCTATGCCCCATTGTCCTAAACTTCACACCTCTCCCAGCCACTTTCACACAACCCCCACTCCAGCACATTCCTCAAACCCCCTCTCACAGACACTTAATGCATGAAATGACCAGACTCCTACAAGTAAATATACTGTATCACATTATATCCATAATTAGGAGCTTTAAAACCTAAATCCCTCACAGTTTCTAGGTGCGCACGGCTCGTCCGGTTGTAATAATACTCTGAGTGAGGAGCGGAGGACCGAGGCTACCGTTACCTGCTGCCAGGATGGAGTCATCAGAGTAGTGTAAAAAAGGTATTTCAATCGGCTCAGACACCGAAAGAAAGCACCGAAAGAAAGCACCGAAATGTGCGTTGCGTTTCGGTCCGGTAGATAACGGTCGTATAGGAATCGGTGCCATATTGGCACCGGGTTTCGGTACCCAACCCTACCCGTAACTGCCAACCTCAGTTCCTGAACGCCTGTAACTTGATCCCCAGCCATCTTGTTATAGTCCAATCCTAACTGGACAGCCCCGGTGACGGCCCTGGAGAGACAGTCTGCGACCAGGTTTTCCTTGCCGTAGATCCGTGGTAAACTCCGAGATGAAGGAGAGCTGGTGCTGCTGGCGTGCGGACCATGGTTCGGCGCTCTTCCCCATGGCAAACGTCAGTGGCTTGTGATCCACAAACACGGTGAACTGCCGAGCCTCCAGCAGGAACCGGAAATGCCGAATGGCCAGAAAGAGGCCGAGGAGCTCCCGATCGAAAGTGCTATACTTCCGCTCATTGGACCGCAACTGTCAACTGAAGAAAGCGAGTGGTTGCCACGCCCCTTTCATCCACTGCTCGTGCACCGCGCCCACCGTGTAGTCTGAATCGTCCGTGGTGATGGCAATCGGAGCCTTAGGTGACGGGTGTGCCAGCATTGTTGCATTTGCCAGAGCTGTTTTAGCGTTCACAAATGCAAGTTCCCTCTCTTCGGTCCAGTCAACAGCCTGTTTGATGGCCTTGCCCTTCAGGGCTTCGTACAGGGGCTGCATCAATTGCGCTGCTCAGGGAATAAAGCGATGGTAAAAGTTCACCATGCCTAAAAACTCCTGCAGGGCCCTCACTGTGAGTGAGCATGTAAAGTTAGTCACCACCTCCACCTTTGATGGAAGGGTAACCGCGCCGTCTTTCGTGATGCGGTGTCCCAGAAAGTCAATGGTGGTCAATCCAAACTGGCACTTAGCCGGGTTGATGATCAACCCGTGCTGGCTGAGTCACTCAAACAGAGTCCAGAGGTAAGACATATGCTCCGCTCTTGACGAACTGGCCACCAGGATGTCATCCAGGTAGACGAACAGGAAAGGCAGGTCCCTCAGCACCATGTCCATTAGACGCTGGAACGTCTGTGCTGCATTTCTGAGGCCAAACGGCATCCTCAAGAACTCAAACAGGCCGAATGGAGTCATCAGCGCCGTCTTGGGAATGTCCGGCGGGTGAACGGGCACTAGATGGTACCCTCGTACAAGGTCCACTTTCGAAAACATCACGTTATCCGACAAGTGGGCAGAAAAGTCTTGAATATATGGAACTGGATATCGGTCCGGGATCGTTCCCTCGTTGAGCCGGCGGTATTCTCCACACGGGCACCACCCGCCCCCAGGCATCGGTGCAATGTGCAGGGGTGAAGCCCACGGACTGTTGGAGCGGTGAATGATGCCCAGGCACTCCATGTTTTCAAACTCGGTCTTGGCGATGGTGAGCTTTGCCGGATCTAGGCGCCGGGCCTGGGCATGTACCGGTGGTAGAGATGTGATGCTCCACCCCATGCTTGACCATGGAGGACAAGAAGGTGGGCTGCGTGAGGTCTGGGAACTCGGCCAGCAGCCGCAGAAACTCATCAGCCGCTGCAAGCATGCTAGTCAACCTGGTAGAGCCAGTTCCAATTAATGTACATGGGTAAGAACAAAAAGTCACAGCATTTA